TGTGGCGGCGGCGGCGGCGGCGGCGGCGGCGGCGTCGTCGTTGATGGTGGTGACGGTGGGACTGAGTATGAATGAGAAACGCTGGATCAAGCAGACTCCATTCCAGAAGATGAGTGTGCCATTTCAGTAGTCCTTTTTCAGGTAAGATAAGAAAATGGATTCTTGAGAAATATGGAAAACTATAATACATTTTTCGGAATTTGCCTCATTCGTTTTGTTTGACAATTTCTGTGAGCAGCAGTAATGCTTTTTTCTGAAAATTGCAGTAACGTGCGCCGGGAGGGCAGAGCCCCACCTATCAGTGTGACCGCTGACTGCGTGGCAGTCGAGTGGCCGCAAATAAGCAGACTTTGGGCTCTGCCGAACTAGGGTCCAGAGGTCAGTAACGCTTGCAGAGTGGATCAATATTCAGAGGGTAAGATAAGAACTCGGGAATCGGACTTGTCCCAGACTCATGAATCTTCATTGTATGGAAAATTCCTGTACCAGGAATCTTCGCTTCTGTTATATCGTCCGCTTGTAGCGACTCACCAGAAACTCTGCCGGTGGTATTGATGGCAAATGTGTCAGGCTGTCCAGATCACCTGGCACCCAATAAAATACACACCTACCCGCGCATGTTGAGACGACTCAGTGTTAGGTTTCTGAGCAACAGGTGGTACCGAAGGTGACATCGAACATGACTCTGATCAGGATCTTCTGAGGGCTTGACTATGGTTCAACCTACCCATGGACAGCAGGACATGAACTACGTGGACGGATGTTCTTGTTATCCGCAGAAATACGGGGGAAGTGTTTAAGACATCTCAGTCTTGCTGGGTGCCGGAAGCCACGCTAGTTTTGTCGTGCATAGCTGTATGTTTGTGGACTGCTCTTGTCCTTTTATGGTTATCTCATCTTTGTTGGCAGATTTTTGGAAACCGCATACTCCCTATTGCACTTTCTACATCTATCTCTAGCCATTCTTTCGATCTCACCTACAAATAGGACAGTTTCTCCAACATAAGTCGAACTTTTCTTGCTTGTTTATTCGTACTTATTTACAGCGCCAAGAGGTTTTTGAGGGAAGGGAAGACTCGAATGATAGGAATTTTTCAGCAGTTTTTGGGTTATTCTGTCTGGTGTAGTTTTGCATAAAATCTTAATTGTCTCAAAAAAGGTGCCGTCTCTCTCCCTCCCCCCTATTGTTCTCTCTCTCTCTCTCTCTCTCTCTCTCTCTCTCTCTCTCTCTCTCTCTCTCTCTCTCTCTCTCTCTCTCTCCTTTCACGTAGAAGCGGCACGCTCTATTTTGAGACCTCTTATCTTCAAGTAGGACCTTGTTGGGAGTGGCCACTTCTGGTTCATTTGGGGTTGACAATCAACCGCAACCCCATGGTGACCTTGAATAATTCCAATCGGGACCGACAGAACGTAGGCACGGAGGTCAAGCAGGGGAGCATTATGACTCAGCATCGACGTGCCCACGTTATAATCTCCGGTCTTCCAGGTATGGAGTTAACGTAGAGCCTGTTAGCAGTGGCAAACAAGTCAGAAAGTGCCTTTCTGGTCTTCGTTGTCTTTTACAGAATACCTTGGTTTAGATGCTAAGATTTAAGTAAATAACATTCCCAAAGAGTATCTACTTATTTGATTTAGGTAGTTCCATATACATTAGCACTAATTTCTAAGGCCTCTTGGCGTTAACAGCGCGCCCTCCCTCCTCACCGTCTGATTGGTGTCCAGTCGGCCGAGTTCATCCCCATTACTTTTCTCTACATCTTACATAAAGTTTCCGGTGGACTGCATAGTCCATAGTCGGTTCCGTATTAATCACCGACAGGGTCTCCGGAAAGCGTCCTTTCTTCTTCCTCTATGTTGCCAGTTGCTAATCCGACTAATAGTTTCAAGCTGTAGGCCGTGAGCCCTGTTGGCAACGCTGTCGGGTGAAGGCGTACGTAGTCCTCGAGGAGCAGCCTTCCTAACCCACTGAGTGACGCTTAGACTGCTGCTATGGGCCCTGCGTTTCCAGCCTCGTCTTCGCACCGGCTAGGTGGGCACCCCAGTAATCAGTCGATTTTCTGCTGATGGACAACATAATCTGACGGTAAGTGCCAGTGAACTTCATGGCACCTCGTTGGCTTACTGTCAGTCATCCACCAGGTCGCAAGAAATCATCTGCTGTCCCTTCCGTCACGTAGTCGCTAATGCTGCAGAAATCCGTCCTTCTTTTATTTTCTACCGATGTTCAGGTTGGCAGACTCATGCTACAGACGATGAAACGTGCAGTTTCTGTTCATGCTTTTCTGACATTGGCGAGATTTGGTTCTGCTGCCCCACTTGACTGATTTCATATGGCTAGCTTCTTAAAACAATTCGTGTAGATGTGAACACGTTGACTTTAAAAATATCATGTGTTTGCACCTTCCACATCATTTTAATCCTGTGAGTAACGGACGGGAGGAGTGCTTATACGCCATCCTCGTTTACCTCAGGTATCAGTTCATACGCGTTTCCCTGCGCGTGTTTCGAGCCCTACCTACGCCCTCTTTGTTATCCCAATCCAGCTAATGGCTAAGTAGGCTTGCTAATGGAATTTTTCGGACGGTGTGGAACTACGTCGGTCCCACTATGGTGGCCATGCACCGCGAATTCCCACGCGGTTCCCCCAGTGGCCTTCCAGTTTTTATTGCACCCTCCTAATCTCACAAATCCAGCGAGTGGCTGCTTCGGGGGGGGGAGTGTGTACACTCCACCTTCACGCGCATCCCTGCGCGTGCTTTGAGCACTGCTTGCACTCTCCTTCCCTTCCTAATCCGGAGGGTAGTTAAGTTAGGTATGCCAACTAATAATGTTTTAGTAAGCTAAGTATATGGTATCACTCGGGTGGGGCCGCAGAACCAAACCCCACCCTTGCTCTTTTCTCTAGTTCCCTTGTTTTCAGTCGGCTCCTCATTATTCACAAATGTGATCTCGTGGAATCGTTTTCGAGGGGATCCCGAAGTAGTAACCACAAGAGCCTACCTAAATCAAATAAGTAGTCACTCTGCTGGAATTTAGTTCGGGGAGAATCTGTTCCCGTGTTCAACCGACATGTGTACAAGAAAATGGGAGACGATTAAACCAAACGCATTAAAAACTTTTGAATAACGCTTTGGAAACCGTTAGCCGCCGCCTCAAACTACTCGATAGCCATAAACGACCGAAAGACCGACTTTTACAGCAGGCCTGGTTCCAGCACTAACCGCGAACTTTTATCGTGTGGCCATAGTGCCTTACGATACGGACGGGGTCTGTCGATTCCAGACATCCATGCGGCTGCAGAAACATCATGGGGCGGTGCATTCTGTGGGCTGGGATATCTTCCGTCGGTGTGTGTACGGGATAGTTGCTCAATGACACCTGGTTCCCAGCCGGTAGATGCGCTTGCGCGTCCTTCGGGTATAGAGGTCGTAAGCATGTCATCCTCGTCTTTCTGACTCAGTATGGTGCTGTTGTTGGTTTAAACCTTGGTCAGTTGTTATGTGGATCAGAGGGTGTGGAGTGGAGCGCCAAGGTGCGGGCTCGTCCGCGATCTTCTTGGCCTTATCTTGACACCGGGCCCAGGCGGGGGAGGACGAGAGAATGCGGTAGATGCAGCGGACGTCTACATTCATCATAAACTAACTAACGCGAAAGTCACTGTGCCTGTTCCACCTTGTTGTGGAGCACACGGTGGACATCGTCTGGAACGATGATTAAACTGTCGTGTGCGGAAGGTGAGCGAAAACTGGAGGGATTTGATCATCGCTGCCTGAGGACCAACCTTCGAGTGAAGAACACCGACCCCGTCTCAAAGGTGACAGATCGTACTGGCTGCGACAACATCTCAGGTCATTCAAGAAAGACGACTGAGGTGGCTTGAGCACGTTCTAAGTCGTCCGCCCGATGAGCTCACTGTCGGTGTCTTCTATCCGGAGACGAACTCAAAACCCGGCTCACCACAGTTCGCCGAAACATGGCAGTGGCACTTGGATCTTCCGCATTCGGTCTGCGCCACCGGAAAAGAGAATGGGTCGAGCTGTCCAGATGCGCTTCCGCAAATCGCCAAAATCGAGAGGTACAATCCGTGACATCAACAGCCTGTACCAAGTGCAACTGAGTATCACGCCCGTAGTGCTGTGTCATCTCTCCCGTCCGCATGTGTCCGCTGGGACTCTTGTAATCGCAAATGGGGAATTTCTTCGAGTTTGCGCCAGCGCATAAAAAAGCAAAATACGACAAGTGGAAATCAGCATGAAACTAGCTTCAGTAAAAGCTTTTCAGTTTTTCTTTACATAAAAGAAGAAGCCCCGCATGTCACCCAGAGGACGCGTGAACGCTCACTTAGACGTTCAATCGATTGAGGTGGGGTTTGAACTGGACACTGCTGCGTGAATTATACGGCCGACTTTGGGTGCCGTCTTGGACGCTAGCAAGGCAAGATGCCGAGCAGTCCTTCAAAGGGCTCAAAAGGATCAAAGGCCTCCCCTGAGGCACTCGAAGCCCTCGAAAAGGCCATCTTTGGACGAGAACGATATGATGACATGGATTCGGTATTCTTCAGGAGGTCAAAAAATATGATCCTATACGCCCACAAGATACACCTGTATGAAGTATGGAATCAGTTGCCACCCCTTCAACCACAAGCGGCTGACGAAGCTGGACGCAGTGCCAGTCCAAAGGGCTCCAAGGGCTCTAAAAAATCAAACTCTCCCAAGTCGAAATCACCGGGGAAGAGCAAATCAGGAAGCCCAGTACCCGCTGGAGACGAGCCTCCGAAAGCGGAGCTTGAGAAAGCCATTCTTATGGGCGCAGTAGCCGTGCCGAAAGAACTGTCACTTGATCCGGCTGAAAAAATTTTTGTCGAGGTCGCGGCAGACTTCACCTACTATGACTACTCAAAAGTTCCGCCCTTTCCACCGGCGGTGGTTTCAAAACTGCGCCTCTTCCGTGATTTCTGCCATATTTTCCCGCTGGACTTTGATCGACCCGTGCCCTACACCGTGTTTGAACAAGACATGATAAAGAAGGTTCATCAGGAACTGCCGGCTGGTTGGCATTGCTATGCTTTCCAATTTGACTTGACAAGATTACCGGACTCGTTGTTCTTCAGCAGACCCTACCATGTCGAAAACATCACTGGCCTCTCCTGGACGCTGCGCGCTTTTTCGGCTAAACTTGATTACTGTCAACCTCTACCGGAAAATGAAGTCTCAATGACATTCTACAAGTATACAATCGCCCCGGTAGTGACTCCATCTGCGGAGAGACCCATTTGTAGTATGGAATATAATCGTTTTGCCTGCCTGGAAGACCAGGGGGATCTGGTGATTACAGCTCAGCTTGACAGAGATGTCTACTATCACGGTGATACAGTGAATGTAACCGTAAATATTTCAAACGACTCAGCCCGACACGTAGTCTCCGCTATTACTGTCTGCATTGAACAGAACTGTAAACTGGTCAACGAAATTCCGCACACATTTACTGTTCGCATCGGTGAGATCTATATTGGTTCCGGTGAGTTTGGTCTGCCCGTAAACCCCAAAAATAAGGGCTGGTCGAAGGAATTCAACATCCGACCCATGTACGACAGGAGCCTGTACAATCTCGTTGTGGACGGCAGAATGAGTCGTGACAACAAGATATTCCTGGCAGAAAGCACCGTCATCATGCGAGCAGATAAGGTGAAAATAGAGCCCCCACCTGAAGAGCCGGCTGGTCGAAAGAGTCCCAAGAGCGGCTCTAAGGGCTCAAAGGACACCTCGAATAAGAAGGCCTCCAAGGACTCCTCGAAGAAGGGAAGCCCAAAGGAAGCTAAGGGCTCCCCGCAACCTACAGCGCCGCCCGAGGAACCAGAGCCTGTCCAACCCTTGGAAAAGGAAGTCAACGTCCTTGTGGGCTCCCAGGTCTGTCGAAACGCCATCATCTCGTACGAGGCAGTAGTGCGGTGTACGATTCGCACCATGACTGGCGAAGAAGGCGGAGCGCCATCGCTAAGAGTGCCTTTTATACTCTCGCGAAACTCCCGCTACATTGACAAGCTCAATGTACAGACACCACCTGTATTTGCTATCGCCTCCATGCACTAGAGCGATAAAGGCTAGCAACCACGCCTCTGTCTTCCCCTTTGTCAAAAACATGAGGACGACGTGTTTGCTGTTGTGAGCAAAGAGGAAAGTGAGCAAGTCTCCTTGACGGCTGCATTCGCGCTGCGTGACACAGCTGCGAGGGGTACGGCTCCGCAGTGGGTCCCCCAGCGTTCCCTATGCGGTTTCTGGCATATGAACTCGAGGGAAGTATCAAGCAAATAGTTTCGGAAAGTATTAAGAACAGGACATGGAGTTACGTCCCCAGGACATGCCTTTGCGGGTCAGACCGGAAATTTCAATGAACATTCGAGTCGAAGACGACCAACTGCTGTGGAATAACCACGTAGTGCCCATTCTAAAAACAAGTAGTACCACGTGTAGTATGAAATGTATGTGGCAAACGTATTATATCGTACTCCCGACATAGGTACTACCTAAAAGCTTTTAGTTGGTATCTACTACTACTCCTACTACTACTACTACTCTCAGTACTACTTGTTTGCAGAATGGACATTACGCGGTTATTCCACAGTAGTTGAGTTTGCCCCGTCTATTGTCAGGAGTACGCGAGCTGCGAGGACCAATTTATTCTATACATAAGGCATGTTGCCGTGAGTTGGGTGTTCTCTTGTGTGTCAGAACAAGGTGTTCGTTCAGCAGCGCGTAAGTAGAGGTGTTGTTTACGTGAGTCTGATATATCTGTGTCATTATGTGCAAGCGACTAGCTAAATATTAAACATGCGATTGGTTGGTCCATGGGCTGCGGTGGGACGGGCAGGGGCAACGGTCTAGAGAAGGACCCCACTTAACTGTCAGAAGACTGTGGATCGTGTCATATGGGGTTTTATTTTGGCATACCTTTGCAGGCTGTCGTAAAAATTACACCACCAACAACGATTACTTCCCCACGACCTCACACCTTAACTCAAAATCCGTTGTTTTGTGAAACTTACTTTTGTTTATTGTTCAATTACAACTCATTTCCGTTGTCGTACAATAGCGTGGGATAAGACTTTCTGCATAAATCCAGGTAATTTCTGTGCTTTCCTTCATTATGTCAGTTTATTGTCTAGCGTGCTGCCCCACCCATAAAACTCCCTTTACCATAATTCACGTATGGCCCGATCCACGGTCTACTGACAATTACGTGGGGTCCTTCTCTGTACCGTTGCCCTAACTCTAACCTCGAACAGTAACCCCCTAATATTAATACCTAACCTATAACTCCAACCCCTAACAGGCGCGGCTACGAAATAAGATCTCACCGCAGTTTCCACAGGACGTCGAGAAGAAGATCATTAAAAACCCGACAGTCTGACAAGTCCGAAATATTATAGGATTATACCGCATGATAATTAATGTTACAATCCCACCTATGTAATTCTCCCGAATCGAGAACGAATTTTAGTATTTCGGCCAAAGTTTCATGAGATTAGTCACTCACGGTAATGTAACGGACGCGTATTCGAGTTGTTGGCGTGATCCACAGGTCTTGGCTGCAAAGATTGGAAAGAAATCGATCTGGTGGGTCGCACTGGCTCTTCCACTAGGTTCTGCTTCGCCTACCTGCGCCCTCTCCAGCCTCCGGTCTTCTTAACTTTGTCTTGACACCGAGTGCAGGCGGGGGGAAGAGGGAGTACAGTAGATGCTTCGCAAGTCCACTCTCACTATAAATTAATTCATTCACAAGTGTCTTCAGATTAGCACGGTTGTCGTTGCTGTCGACTGACAAAGAAGACACTGGAGCTTCTGCTGCTGCTGCTGCTGCTGCTGCTGCTGCTGCTGCTGCTGCTGCTGCTGCTGTTGCTGCTACACTTTTTATCACTCGACACCGTCACAGTGTACCTCGTACTTCAGGCACTCTCTCGCAGGAGAGATCCAAGCTGCCCCCATGAGATCCTGGTGCCGCGTGCGGCACGCGTAGACGATCAGTTTTGCCTTGCCACCCGGCCCGCTCGTACGCACTTCCGATCGTTTTGTCACTGTCTTGCCATCGGAGAAAGGTGGATGTAGGAAGAGAGGTGTAGTCCTTGTCTCACACAGTGTCTACTTATTTGATTTAGGTAGTTTAATATACACTAGTAATAACCTCTGAGGCCCGTTGCCGTTAGCAGAGCGCCCTCCTTCCCCACTGTCTGATTGACGTCCAGTCGACCGAGCTGGTCCTCGTTGTCTTTCGCCACGTCCTCAATAAAGTCAAGCAGAGGAGCATTATGACCCATCACCGACGTGCCCACGTTATAATCTCCGGTCTTCCAGGTATGGAATTAACGTAAAGCATGTTAGCAATGGTAAACAAGTCAGAAAGTGCCCTTCTGGTCTTCCTTGTCTTTTGCGGTATACCTTGATGATTGAGATGCAAAGATTTACGTAAATGACATTTCCACAGAGTGTCTACTTATTTGATTTAGGTAGTTCGATATACATTACTACTAATATTTAAGGTCTCTTGCTGTTAACAGCGCGCCCTCCCCCTACACCGTCTGATTGGTGTGCAGCCGGCCGAGTTCATCCTCATTACTTTTTCTCTACGTCTTACATAACGTTTCAGGTGGACTCCATAGTCCACAGTCAGTTCCGTATTAGTCACTGACAAGGTCTCCGGAAAGCGTCATTTCTTCTTCATCTATGTTGCCAGATGCTAATCCAATGAATGGCTTCAAGCTGTAGACCGTGAGCCCTGTTGCCGAAGATGTTTGTTGTCCTTGGGGAACATTGCTGTCCAGCGCATTATTTCCGTCTACTAATTTCCCTTCCACCTCACTGAATGATGCCCAGATCGCCAATGTGAGCCCGAACATTTCTTGTTTCGTCTTGCGCACCTGCTAGGTGAGGCATCCCAGTAATCAATCGATTTTCTGCTGATGGACAAAAAGTCTGACAGTGAGTGGCAGTGAACTCCGCAGACCGGTAGACGGTGACTGACTTCCTCCGTTTGCAGGTAGTGGATTTCGGAAGTATCACCTGGTGGCTAGGCTCTAATAGGTCTCAAGTGACCTCAACAGTCTAGAGACGGCTTTCAGTAAGTCTTTCAAACCCAGGGCGCCTTGCCGTGATGGGAACCGGTTGAATTTATTCACTTATGGCCTGTTTGATCACTGGGTCTACAGTGACGGTTACTTACTTGTCTGCGGTTCTTGAGAATTGTGTTTGCGCTGCAATCTCGGACCTATTCTTTCGAAAATTTGTTCAAACCTTTGTTGATAGGAAGAAGGAATGTAACAGAAAAAGAGCATAGTTATGGCAAGTAGCCACTTATGACACTGCTTCGTATTCCAGTCGACGGCGGATCTAAAAAGTCTTCAGACGACTGCGTTGGCCTTCATAGGACTTGGTTTTGTAGTCGAAGCTCCGGATACAGAGGTTTACGGAGCCGTATCCGCACCCTCAACGGCGGTCACAGTTTATTACAGCGGCCTACAAACGCCGCTTAACTCATTGCCACTTTGCGGGTCTGGGGATGTATTCTTGATTGACTTCGACAAATTTACTATGTGTACGTGGCCCCAACGTCCGACTTTCTTCCTCCTCCTCCTCCTCCTCCTCCTCCTCCTCTTCCTCCCCACACCCCCTCCTCACATATCCTCCATTTTCGAAAAATCAAAGTCCTTCCATCTTCGTTGCGGAGACTTAGTCCAGGCGGAGTAATTAATCACGCGGGATGCGCACAGGTGAACACTATTCCCAACACCAGGATTTGTGGGACAGATTATTGACCAGTCATCACAGTAACATCCAAAACACATGATTAAATTACAAAGATTAACGACTCGAATGTCAGCCATTTAACAGTCGCCCCACTAAGTGCAGCAATCCCTGATGGAGGGGGGAGCGGTGAATTCTGATAGGTATGTGGCAAAGCGATGATTGCATCCTATAAATACTGCAGTCTCTTGTACATGAAATACCCTTATCGGTTTTTGTCTCTGGCGATGAGTTTGAGCAGGAATTCGAAACGTCGGGCGAATAAAGTTCCTGTTCCAGCGATCGCGTTTCCTTCTACGCACACGACTGACTACCACTATGATCCCTTAGAGCGCCAAAGACCCACTCGATCACCGCCAGGCCGAAGGCCTCAGGCGTCAGTTAACGGAAGCTAACTAATCCAGAATCATTAAACTAACCTGAAATAATGCGATCGCAGATTGACTCCTTAGGGTCGACATGAGCTTCTATTTTTTGTCTACATCCCCTAATTTATTTTGCTAATGAGAGAAAAGGAAGGTGGATCCCGGAACAGTCCCTTTAATGAGCCAACCTGAGTGATACGATATCGAACGCGCTAAAACTCACCGCATTTATCCTACGCCGGCGCATTCTAGACTCCAGAGTGCTGATTGCGAATTAACGATGTCTCGCGCCATAACCCCTCGCGTAAAAATCTCCAGTATTCAGCCTACCACTAATGGAGCTGCATGCGCGAGCAAAGGCCTCCTGCCTGCTCGATGACGCAACACACGCTGATTGGCTAGCTGATTGCACGCGTGTATTTCGCAGCCGGCCTGGCCTGCTGTGCGTCCGTGAGTGCTCGCTTTTTTCACTCGCTTCGAATCATGACTCCATTCTTTCAGTTTCAGTTTATTAAGGGAAATACAAGCGAACGCCTTTGAACTTCCTATTGGTTACAAGTCGTCGGTGAAAAACATTGATAAGTTGGAAGGTGAAAAAGGATTTTGTACGTAATCGCGGACAGCTGATAGCTAATCAAAAAGAGAAATTATTAACGGTTTCTTACTAATTACAAGTAGTACAAACACGTTTATGCTGGTACCGGGTTATGTGAGTGGGTGTGAGGCTAGTAATTAGAAAGCTTGATACGCGTCAAGTTTACACTTGAAGGCATTCACACAGGATTCAAGAGTGTGTTTACATCTTTCATAAAACTGCAAAATAAAAGGGAGATTAGGACGGCCAATTAGGGCATAGCAGCTGACGTCAGCTGACAATAGCCAGTGCCAAGTTTGGACGACCTAAGATTCGAATTCGAATTCCCTGGTCAT